AAAAAATTCTGGTTGTTCCATTCATGATAACAAAGCAACAGAAAAATGAAAACACGGGCCTTGATTTTAAAAACAACAGCTGAGTGGAAAGCTCCACTGCTGGCACCACAACCTGCACGCTATAACAAGGGGAGAAACATGGGGCATGTTGCCACTTGCAGCTGGATCAGGTGCCTGAGACCAAACTCTATTGATTCTTCTCCTGCTCCAAAAAAAACCACCTGAGGGGGTCTCTGAGGCACAGGCACACGCTGCCTAGCTCCTGGCACTGGGAAGAAGGATCCACTGCAAGCGACTTTAAACCCCTTTACTGGGAAAGAGGGAGCGGGCTCAGCATCACAGCTTCCCCAGAAAACTCATGTAACCAGTCAGAAGGTGCAAACAAAACACAAACTTTAGAACCTCTCCTAATCCCTGCGTCAGTGAGGACACTTTAGGAACAGTTCAGTGCAGACACTGGCTCCAACATGTCAATTTGACTTTCAAAACCCAGAAGGGACTTTCAGTTCCTGAAGCAATCATGTTCTTTCAGTTCTCTTTTGGTTCATTCCTTTAATTTTTCTGTCGTCTTATTTATTTTTCACTGCAGTAGCTTCTCTTTTATACCCAGATAAAAGAAGCTTATTAAAGTAGTTTGTTAAAATGGCTCATTTAGCTTTTTCCATCTCTTCATACATCTATAAGAATTAAAGTAATTTATTAATTGCTTTAATTAAGGTTATAATTTTCTTTTATTTCCTGCCAGAAAGATGAAAGCTTTAATAAGCTACTGGTATTTTTAGGTAGGTTCTTTAAAGGTTTTCAAGTCAAGTCTGTAAATGCCACTGCTGGTGGAAGAGAGCTGTTTGACAGAGTCACTGCTCGCTCACTGAATACTGGATCAACTTCTTAGTCTCAGAATCCCAACGATCTGTGCCTTCAAAAATGAAAAAGAAGAGCACTTAAGAGCATAGGAAAGTAGGTCCTTTTAATTTGCACTAATCCCATTGGCGCTAATTTGCATTTAGTCTCTTTAGAAATTAGACTGTAGTTTATAAGGAACCTTGGGTGCTTCTGAAATGTCTTCCCCATTCAACAAACACAGCCTTTCCAGAGGGATGTGGCCCCAGGCCTACTTGAACCTGTCGTTTTTGCTGAAGTGCTGAGGGGTAGAACCAGCCGGTCTGCAAAGCACAAAGACTTACATCTGTGGACTGGTCCCCAGCATAATGCCAGATATCATCGATCATGCTGGTGAGGAGGCTGAGGCCGGAGGGGATGTTACGTGGGAGCAACAGGACGCTCAGGGCCTGCGAAGGAAACACACAAACGGGAGAGTCCAAGAGAGAAGGATGTAATATCAAAGCAGACTGACAGTGCTCTGCTCTGTTGTCTTTTCCCTGTTGCTGTTGCCTTGCCTCCAGGTCCCAGTGACAAGTCCTCCCAGCTCTTTGCAGCCAGCACCAGGCTTTCCAAGCGGTGGGATGTGCAGGGAACACAGAGTGTGGCAGGTGAGCTCAGGCCTAGGCCCGTGCTGGAGCCCAAAGCTCCCTGCTCAGCTCAAACACCACTGTGTTGTCTCTCCTGAGCTGCCTCTCCAGCATGGAAACGGCACAGGCTGAGCTGACTCACCCTGTGCCCCTGTGGGCAGGGAGTCACCTCTCTCATTTCTCCGAATTTGACTTTGAACTCAAGAGCAGCAACCCAGGGCACAACAGCGCCAGCCATAATGGCCCTGCTGGGATCCTGCAGCCTTTGAACGTAATCACACAATGCCAGGAGAGTCACAAACCACCCACATTCCTTCACAAGGCAAGTTATGCTAATCTGGAAGAAGAACATGAAATTTGTGCCCTCTCTCTTTGCATGGAGTGCTGGATTCAGCTGCCCAGAGGCCAGCAGTGGTTCTGGACAGAGGTTGACCTTGCAGCAATCTTTGCAGCCCAAGGTTGGGAACTCTTTTCTTGTTACTGTGGCCACAATTCAATTCCCTTCCCACCCCGGCAAGAATGGCTTGAGAGTTAAATCTGAATTTTGAAGCATGGAGCCCTCTCAGTTCACAGCCCTACCCTCAGGCTGCCCAGGGTTTGTCAGTCACACACCAGAAGGGCAGTTTCTGCAGCAAAGCACTTCTGCATTTCCAGGTGTCAGGTGATACTGGTGCAGCCAGAACAACCCTGCATGGAGCCTGACTTGCAGTGACACTGCAAGTAGGACTGAGCAGAGACACAGGTTATCCCCTGGGGATGCCAGATGGGTGGAGTGAACAACAGAGAGCTTTGCCTTTCCAGAACTGCAAGGAACAGTTGTTCTAAGGTCACCTTTAACTGCCTCCTTCCAAGGCTGATCTCCTCTTGAAGGCTACAAATAATTTGAAACCAGCAAGGGTTTAATTTACAAGCTTGAACTAATCTGGTGGAGAGACTACGTTGAAAGACACAGGGTGTTTAAAATACACACACAAAAAAGAGATAATCTTGATATTACTTTTATACCTGGGGCCATTTCTCAATATATGGAATCAGCATCCTCAATCTGGCTTCCACAGCATCTCTCAGGAATTCATCTGTAGGCTTCTTCCTGGATAAGGAAAAAAAAATTAAGAAGAGCCCAATTAAACTCAATTCTGATCTTGAAAGATCAATCTCCATGTGCCTCAGCAATAAATAAGCAAAGTATTATATATCCTTCATACCTTTGGTCCTCCTCTGTATCTGGGAACATGGTTTTATTTGGGTAAATCATTTTTATGGGTAAATTTAAAGTATCTGTGTCCCAGGTGGCCTGTCTGACTACCCAGTTCCCAAAATCTGCCAAGGAAGATGTTTGCTCATACCCAATACTCACTCTGCTTCACCCAGCTGCACTAGTTTTTGCTCCTTCTCCAGCAGCTCAGACAGCTTGGCATTGCACTCAGACACAAAGTGGAGGATCAGTTCACTGCCATCACTGTGAAACATCCCTGCAGCAGCAACAGAGAGGCCCAGGGTCTGTAGGAAGAAGGGAGAAGCACAGAGCGGGTCACACACTGCTAGGCAGGATCCAGCTAGGAAAAATGTTGTATTTATTTTGTGAAAGACTTTATATGAATTTAAACAAAGTGATGCTGCATTAACAAGAACTTCCTGTATGTGTTTTCCTCTCTTCAGGATCACTACATCATGCCTTAGTCTAACTCTGAAGAGGTTATCCTGTAGCAGCTGGGACACATTCCTGCCGGGTAGCATTTGCTGACTAGGGTGCATCGCCCAAGAGTATGTGGGGGAAGCATGCAGGCCTGGCTGTCTTTGCACTTCAGCCCCATCCAGTTTTCAACTGGTTTGTTGCTTCTCTCCCCACATACCTTGGCTCCCTCTGCAATGGCCTCTGCAGTCCAGCCATGTTCAGGCACGAACTCCAGCGCCGCTGTGAGGATTCGACGCTGCAGCTGCTCCTCGCTCTCATAGTCCTCAGACTCCTGGCCGCCCTGGCCAGTGTAACTATGAGAAGGTATTGTTACAGTGAGGGGAACGTCACCACCAAACACCAGCACCCTGGACTCTGCCACTCACTCGCTGCCACCGCTGCCTGCAAGCACATTTTGGGACCTGCTCGTTATAAATCTGGCCTCCTCCTGTAAAATCCTTCCCTTTCCAGAAAAATGATTCTTAATGAACTTTTGCTCTGAGAGAAAACTAAGGGAGGGCTCAATGTGGGTGCCTACATGGAGACCAATCAGCTCCAGAATCCCCCTCCTTTACAGAAAAGCTACACTACAGGTTTTTCCAACGTGGGCTTTATAGTTATAGGCATATGGACAACATGTTGTCCATATTTTGTTTAGATTTACACAAAAATCCAGATGCAAAGATTTGCACTTTGCAGATAAGAGAGGTTCCCTCTTAGAAGCAAATCCCATCGTGTCTCCACGGTGGACAGTGGAATTTGCACTGTCACAGCAAACCAGCTGCTGCAGTCTGAGGCTCCTTAACTCTGGATCTGCAGAGTTGTCTTCAAGTTTCAGATGTGAGTTTCGGGAAAGCAAAGCCCTGCAATCCCACTGTCGGCAGGGCTGTGCTGGGAAGAGCTGCTGAGTTACCTGGGGCGAGGGCCCTGAGGTTCCTGTTCGGGCTGGTGACCAGCTGGATGTGTATCGAACTGCTGCTGAGAGGAAGGTGTGAAAGGTTCCTTCTTGTGCTCATCGGAGACTCTCCTCAGCACGGCTGAGGCCTGGAGAGCTCGGACTGGTGCGTAGTGCTGGCACCTGACCACTGAAAGGGAAACCAGGAGAGTCAGTGTCTCCTTCCAACACGAGGAAGCACAGAAAATTAAGGTGGAGAAGAGAGTTATGGTGAACACGGCTGAAAAGAACCACGGTTCGGGGTGTGTTTTTTTACACTTCTGAGAAGCGCCGCTCTCAGCTGAGCTCACATTCACTTGAAAAAAATAAAGGAAAAATGTTTTGCGAGGGGAAGAACAGTGAGAATGGCATGTATCGCAAAGAGCTTCTGAATCTCGGACTGGAAACCAGGCACCAAAATGTGCCCTCTCCCCTTTTGGGTCCCTGTTTGAGGTGTTCAAAGGAAGGAACAGGCAAGTCACCCTCAGGAGCATGAGCAGCCCTAATACACAACTGCTGACACTGTGCAGGGTTCTCATGTGACTCAAAGGCACGCTGGAAGAGCTTTTAATTTCAATGCTGCGACGTTTAGCTTTTTTTTTTTTTTTTTTAATAAACTCGTTCGGCGGCCCACACTCCTAAAGAAAACCACCACCACGCGCCCCCTACTTCAAACCCACCCGCTCAGCCCCTGCCGCCGGCTCCGCTTCCCTCCTGCCCTTCACCTCACCTTGCCCCGCCCCGCCCCGGGGGGCGCGCACGGGCACGCACGAGGGCGCGCACGGGCACGGGAGCGCGCACCACCACCACCACCTTCCGCCCTCACCACCGCCCCCGCTCCCGGCCCGGGCGCGCCCCCCCCGCCCCTCACCCGCGCGGCCCCGCCACAGCCGCCAGCCCGCGCGCCGCGCCGCGCCCGCCGCCGCCATCTTGGGAGCGGGCAGGGCGCGATGACGTCACGGTGACGGCGTCAGGCCGGGACGGGCGAGCGGCGCCGAGGGGGCGAAGCGGGGCCAGGTGAGCGCGGGGGGGAGCGGGGAGAGGGGGCTCCGGTCACCCTGAGGGTCTGTCCGGAGGGCTTGCCGGAGCGGTGTGGGTGTCTTTATGTGTGTGTATATATATATAATTCCTTCACGAAATTCCATCACGTATCCTGTTCCTGCTCCCTCTAAACCGTCCCCGCTCGGTGACCGAGAGGTTTATTCCGCCCCGTTCTACATGTGTTTAAAGCGTGCACGTGCTGTAGGGCCCGCAGCTCTGGGCCGCGTTCTGGCCGTTGGCAGCCGGAGCGTTCCCGGCCGCTGGAAGCTCGAATATTCCCGGCCGCTGGAAGCTGGATCCTTCCCGGCCGCTGGAGTGCGTCGGGAGGCTCGAGTTTAGTCCTGATGTGCTACAGAACCCTGGAATGGTTTGGGTTGGAAGGGACCTTCGTGTTCACCCCCTTCCAACACTGCAGCTCTCTAAGCTGTTGAACGCCCCGTGTTGTTTAACCCCTTCCCTCGCCCCGTTCCTCAGGAACTGTTAAATGCGTGTGACGTTGAGATAAGGGCCCCTCCTCACCCCCAGCACGCGGATCCAGCCCTTGGATCCAGCCAACCCTGTTGGCTGAAGCTGGGGTTGCTGTTGGTGCAGTCTGGGCTCTGACTGATCTTGAAAGGTCACAAGCTGCTGTTCAGAGAGGAAGGGTTTTATCTTAGCTTAACAGATAAACTTTGGGTTTATCTTAGCCTAACAGCTTATGTATCTTTTGGGATTTTCAGCCTTCTTGGGAAAGGTGATGTTTTTATGGGATTAATATGTGCGTTTATGAGTGTTACTGTCTGTTGTAGCTGTTTAGCTGGTGTCACACATGCAAGGCCAGCTGGGAGGTGCTATAACCTGCAGTGTACATCCAAGATCTTCCATTCCTGGTTGGCATTGCAGCTGCATTAATGTGAATTCCTACTGGAGTAGCTCAGACAAGGCACAAAGTTGTCCCATTCTGAACTTGTTTGCAATTCCCAGGAGAGAGGGGGTGTCCACGGCTCACAGAGCCAGAGGAACCGTGGGTCAAAATCCACTCCACACCTGACTGTGTTTAAATTTGGTACAGCATGTCCCTGAGCTGTGCTTTCATGACAACGTGGTGGCAATAAGGCATTAACCAGAATGTGTCACGTAGTGATTCCTGGTAAAGACCTTGCTTACAACTGGCTCTCCCAAAATAAGCGTGTAGCTTGCAGCTAATGGAAGATACACCAGGCAACTATGCTGGTCACTAGTGCTCTCTGTTCTCTGTGGTCATGTTAAATTAGGAAGACAATAGGTTTGTGTTGGAAAGAGGGGAGGTCAGGAGCTTCTGAAGTGGTTCTAAGTACAGCTCAGTAGCTGGTGCTGCTGTGAGAACAGGTGGTGATGGGATACTATTGCTCCATCAGGAATACAGTCTTGTATAAAATATTAGTGGAGACTGATTTCTCGAAACTGTCACTTCACTGCACGTTCTGTTCCCCTCCTGCCTCCCTGTGATTTGCTCACCCAGTGCCACCAATCATAGCAGTGGGAGAGCCTCAATCTGGAATGCTGGGAATGCCAAAAGTTACTTTTTTTTCCTTCTCATGCACTGTGAAAGCAAACTGCTTGGACATGTCCAGAGCAGGAGAGACAAGGCAGTATTTAATGTGAAATAGCTGTCACTAGTCTAGAAATCCAGAAATCCTGTTTGGCTTATTCAAATCTCTAAGGAAAGCAGGTAAGCTTTTGTTGTTTTGTTGGGTTTTTTTAAGCATGGCTTGCAGTCTCCTAGCAAAACTAGTCCCTCAGCTGGAGAGAACCTGAATTATGCCATTAAGTATAACTCTTCCTTCATGTCCTGGTAAAGCTCAGCTTGCGGGAACTTTTTGCTGCCCATCTCAAGAAAAATTATCCCCATTTATTGAAACAACTTGACGCTCCGCGATGAAGTCGCAGTCCACAGAGGTTCCTGCTGTGCTTGGCACTTACCCTTCCTCTCCTCTCTCTCTCTCTCCCCTGACCTGTTCCTCTCTCAGCCACTGCCAGTTTTGCTGCTGCCGCTGAAATGGGGGAGTACGGGGTCACTCCGGGCCAGCGCGTGGCCATCGTCTGGGACAGCTCCTCGCCCGTCGAAGCCCTGAAGGATTTGGTGGATAAAATTCAGGCGCTGGTGGGAGCTGATAGTCGTGTCTCTGTGGAAAACGTTAACCAGCTGTCTCAGTGTAAGAATGAGTTTAATTTTTCCCTGCTTTGTTTAAACGGAAGGGTGCTGCCGACATGTGAGCTGACACCTTCCCGCTTTGGGAGTCAGCACTCAGAACAATGACAGCACCTGCTGCTGACCCTTACCCTGGGCAGTACAGCCAGGGACGTGCTACACCCTGGCTGTGCTTCTGTGACTGGTGTCTTTAATCAGTTACTGCTGTTGTATGCAAGCACGAGAGATGAGGGAGGTGGAACTGCTGTATTAAGCTGTGTGTGTACGTGTGTAAAATTGTACCATCTTCCTGTTTCTTCCCAGCGGCTCACAGGGAGTCCAGCTTTGATGTAATCCTCTCTGGCGTGGTCCCAGGCAGTGCAGCACAGCACAGCGTGGAGCTGCTGGCAGAAGTAGCTCGGATACTTAAGCCAGGGGGCCGTGTCCTCCTGAAAGAACCAGTGGTTACGGAATCAGGTGAGAGAATCTTGCTTCTGTGGCAGCACAGCAGTTCTTGAGAGGATTAGGCTGAAATGGAAAGGACAGGAACCCCGACCGACATTCAGAGATTTTCATTCTCCTGACACAGTAACCCAAATAGCGAGGGTTTTACCCTGTGCTTAAGCAGGTGCTCATCAGAGATGTTTGCAGTCACTGCTTCTATCAGAAATGCTGGATAGGCTTGTTCCTTAACTACTTTGAAAAGCCCAATGGACGCTGGTCTTCTTCTCAGAGTGCAGTGTTAAGTAGTTGCAGATGTTGTGGTTCTGAGGAGCTTCTGAAGTGGTTCTAAGTACAGCTGACAACTGCTAAGAGAGGTTGCCCCGGAAGCCAGTTGAGAAATAGTTATCCAGAAAAGGTTAGAAGCTAGGAAGGGCACAATTTTAAAGCAGAGGTTTGGCTCGAGTACTTCCCTCTAAAGCTCTTGCTCTTCCAAGTTTCTTGGTGACCTTTATTGTGGTTCTTCACTCCTCCTACTCTCTGATTTTGTGTCTTCCAGGAAACAATGGCAAAATCAAGACAGCAGCCAAGCTCCTCACAGCTCTGACTCTCTCTGGCTTGGTGGAAGTGAAGGAGGTACGTATGTACTGACCACTTGCAGCACTGCCCTTGGGCAGTTACCTGGGGTGAGGTGTGTAGCTACCCTGGTTTGCTGTAAATGTGCATGGACACTGCCTGGCACAAACTTTGGTTGCTGCAAGGGTAGTGTTTTTCTTCAGGATTGAAAATATCTATTGTCTGTTCACTGGAATGCTGGACTGGGTGCTAAAATACAGGGTTCTGCATGAGGTTAACCTCAAATCTTACATTGCAGCTGCAAAAGGAAGCGCTGACCCCGGAGGAGGCCCAGTCGGTCCGAGAGCATCTGGGTTACCAGGGCAATGACCTTCTCATTATTCAGATAGAAGGCAGGAAGCCCAATTTCGAAGTGGGATCCTCAAGTCAGCTCAAACTTTCCTTTGCCAAGAAATCTGGTCCTTCAGGTAAGGAGTGGTGCTTGCTAAATGTCTGGATTGCCTGACTCTCAGTGACAGGCATCCCTTGGAACAGGGAAACAGTTCCCAGCTAGGGAGTGCTAGAATAAAAACCTGTGAAGTGGGGCTTTCAAAAGTGGCTTGAACTCTGTTGGGAGTAGATGGGGCAAAGGCTGGAATAACTGCTATTTCTTCCTTTGTTTTGGCTCCAGGAAAACCCTCTGTGGACCCAGCCGCTGCCAAGCTGTGGACGCTCTCTGCCAATGATATGAATGATGAAGAGATGGTATCTGGTTTTGTTTGTGAGGCTTTGCTGTTGTTCCTTCTCTCTTCTTTCCTATTCTAAATAGTTTCAGTCATGCCTCTTGTGAAGCTTTACAACTTAAAGAGGTACAAAAGCCTCCTAAGGCAAATTATCTCATCTCCTCTGTGGGGTCTGGAGAGCCCAGTGGTGTGAAGAGGGCAGAGAGGAGACAGGGATAGGAGGGCACACCCGCAGCACTTTAATGCCAGTGTACAGATAGCACCATTTCTTTGAACCTAACTCAGCAGTGTCATTCCCTACTGACAAATCCATTTCCTGCTTGTTGTCTCCCATGGTGTGTTTTCAGGACCTTTTGGACTCTGATGAGCTCTTGGATTCAGAGGATTTGAAAAAGCCAGATCCATCATCCCTCAGAGCTCCATCCTGCAAAGAAATGGGCAAAAAGAAAGCCTGCAAGAACTGGTCAGTGCTGGAATTAGCATATCGGTGAACCTTTTAACTGCAGCATTAAACCTATAGAGTTGGAGGGATTTTAAAAAGATTGTAGGCAATTTGCTGTTCTTCAGAGCCTAATTCTCTTGGTTCATGTCCTTTCTTATCTTAATTATTGGAATGTAAATCCAAATACAATGAGGATTGACCAGTGACTGCTACAAATTACCTCGATGATCAACAGCCGTCTACAAGGTGGCCACAAGTTCGTGCAGCTTGACTGAAACCCTAGTTTCTTAGATTTCAAGCAGAAATAGCACATAGCAAGTGCTGTAGTGTCATTTCCCACTCAGTTTAAACTTGAGGAGCGTTTCAACACTTGCTGTACAAACTGTGGTGTTGAAGAACAAAGTGAGGAGCGTGAGTCCCAGAGTCAGCTGTCGTGTGACAGAGGGAGGGCTGTCACATGTGAGCAGGGCTGGAACAAGTGTTGATGACTCATGACCTTTAAGCAGAAAGATACAGGTGACTTCTCTATTTTTCTACAGCACGTGTGGCTTGGCTGAAGAACTGGAACAGGAGAAGAAGAGCTCACAGCCCAAATCTGCCTGTGGAAATGTAAGTAGTGTTTTTTGTCCCTATACTGTGGTTTGCAGTATGTGATCTGTGTAAGGATTGTGTTCTCTGGTGACTGCTGCCTGAGCTGGCTCACTGCTTCCAAATGCTGCCTGTGCAGCTTTTGCAGAGCTTGAGGATCTCCATGTGGGAGCCCACAGGGCTCTCGTGGTCGTGGGCTGCCCCAGCCTGGGCACACTAGGTGGGGAGGAGACTCAACTTCTTCCGTGTGAGCCCAGTGCCCTGCACAGCTCTGCCAACCAGTCGTGCTGAGAAAGGGGCAGAAGGGAAGTGGTCTCTGTGCTGATCGATGCTGAAAAGAACATACTCATCTCTTGAGCTAGAGGAATGGTACCACAGGGGAAGACACCTGAAAGTGCCCCTGATTACAGACAGTGGCTTTTCTTTCCCTTTCCAGTGCTATCTGGGGGATGCATTCCGCTGTGCCAGCTGCCCTTACCTGGGGATGCCTGCCTTCAAGCCTGGGGAGAAGATTGTCCTGAAAGAGAACCAGCTGCATGATGCCTAACAAAGACATCTCTGGATGTCCTGCAAAGGACTCTGCTGCCTTTCCATTACTCTGAGGTTCTTCCTGCAGTCCTCCTCATCCTCTCAAACTCATGCTCTCCGGCCAATACTCCGTGTGGGGAGGGGCACTGCGGGCACTGACACTGCTGTGAGCTCATCACTTGTAATCAGCCTTGGGCTACCTGACAAGTCACGTACCAGACTTCATGTTACACCTTGGTTTAGCTGCTCTTATCCTGGCTGTCACAGCATGTCCCGCCAGCAGAGGGAAGCAGAATCAAGTGTCAGGTTGTCCTTGTGTGCCTGTGGCAGGACCCGGATTTCCCAATGCACGTGTTGTACAGCTCTAATTTGCCCTGATTTTCCCTGGTGATGCAGCAGCTCTGGCTCAGCTCCCTGGGGTTACACTGGGCTCCTGCTCTCTTTGAAATTTAAACCTGAAGCCCCTTACCTCGTGAAGGTGGCTCAACAGCTCCTGTTGCAAGTCAGGAGCAGGGAGTATACTTAGCAGTATGTACTCTGAGAAGTGTGTGTGATCTTCTTGGTAAAGTCTGGCAGGCGTGATGAATTTCCAAGTGTTTTGGGAGTCCCTGCCCCCACCTGTTTACAGCAAAATGACAAAGATTTAGTCCCACCTAGAAAACTCCTGCCCTTATGGCAGGGACCTGATGAAACAAGATCTGTCTTGTCCTCCCACAGCTTTCAGTCCAATGCAAACTGATAACACAAGGGCAGTCTGAGACTGTCAACTCTCTTGGTGGTTACCAAGTGAGTTACCTGCAGTGTCCAATACATAAGAACATAGCAATAACTTAATTTCTAGATGATATGTGGTCGGCATCTGCTCCCTCTCCATGAGATACTATTTATTTGTGTAAGAAGTTAGTGAAATATCCCGCAGGTGTGGGATGGGGGAGCTGTTCACGTTTTGTGTGGGGCTTTCTTCTCACCTAGGGTGGG